ATAATATGTTCTTTTTTCAAGTTTTTAGTGAACCTCTGTATGTCGAGACGGAATCTTAAGAATCGGTGTTATGAGGTGAATCAAAGGTCGCCATGGTAAAACATTCAAATGCTATACACTTTTTAAAAAGGAAGAATTGTTACATGCTTTTTAATGTAACACATTTTATCGCAATCACGTGCAGTGAAAACCCATTTCCACTAGGGGTCTTTTGAAACTTGGCTGGCAATTTTGACACCCGACATGAAACATACATATGCGTCCGTTCAAGTTGCACGCGATGTCGTTCAAAGCTCCGACCTGTATATGTCACATGAAACTTATCGCGCGCAACTTTCGTGTCCCTTGAAAATAAGTTGCATTTGGTAAATGAAGACGTGTATTATTTTGTATACATGAAGTACACAACACTACTTTTCAACTGACAACTGATGACAATAGAAGCTAGGTTCTTAATGTGGGCCGCAACATATTATAATGGTTAATAAAAAAAGAAAGGTACCTAACGCGAACAAGGCAAATGTCGAGCGAAAATGTCCGGCGAAGTCCCAGGATTATGGGTCTACGTGACATGACGTGATCCTCTCATACATTTATTTTTTGAAACACACGTGCAAGTGCGTCATTAAGTATTTAAATTATAGATAAATACACTGATAATTTTAACTGTGAAACGTTCTGAATTACCCAAGATGCCTTCAAGAAGTAGTAAACGCTTTTTCATTCCACTAAATGTTTAGACGTTACAGATGCTATCAGACATATAATATTAAATGTGTGTGTGGTAGCTAAATAATATATCAGTATCATGGAAAAAAAATATCAAGTATTATTGTCATGTATTCAGTTTCAATTTTCGTGCAAAATAACCTAATTTTCCACAAACATTAATATCATCATCATCATTTCGTTCTGTGTCTGGGTGTAATTTATCTATAATATGTATGTATTTAGAAATATATAAGTATGTTTATCAGCGATCTGGTTACCATGGTACGTATAAAGGCTCTGCCTAGTTTGGGATCAGACGGCCGTGTGTGTGTGTGAGATATATTATAATTATATGTAAAGAATTCAAATTAATTTGACGAAAATGTATTTCTTAAGATGTTTGTCAAATGTTTTAATGTTGTATATGATTATAATCTGGCAGAATGGATTTGGCAGAATTTTTATTTTATATTAATACTTTATGCACAAACTGCCAGTCTACCTTGGGGTGGTGTAGATGCCTCTGCCAGTCTACCTTGGGGTGGCGTAGAGATGAGTGATTAGGTGCACAAAACTCAATAACAAGACAAGACAAATACACACACAAAAGAATACGCGAAAATAATCGGGATGAAAAAGTGATGAATATCATTAAAACTTTCTTACAAACACACATATACACATATACCTACACATTCGTAAAAACATATACGTACATACATATATTTTGACCCTCGGAATAACAAACTGACCTCGCCTTAATCATTCTAACAGGACTTATAAGCATTTATAATATAAGCAGCATGCGTTAAACATCTTGGGAATTCTATGTTTATGTTCTCTTACCATTACTCGGTATGTTCACTTTCTTGTCATTTAGGCATAAAAAAATTGTTAATAAGGGCAATTGGCGATTAGGGGTTTAGGGGAAGTACAAGGAATAGATGAGCTTTATGCTACTGTGACTTTTTGGTACCATTCAGAGCATATTAAGTATTCTTCAAAGAAGAATTAAAGTGAAACTAGAATACTAGAATCGAGCCAGTAAGAACTTTTCGACCATTATTAAGTATTCACGTAGAGCAGAAGTTTTTAAATATTATATACTAGCTTTTGCCCTCGGCTTCGCTCGTATGTATGTCGATTATCATGGTAAAAAGTAGCCCATGTTACTGGCTATACTTATCATTTAATATCTGTGGCAATCGTTACGGGTAGTTGGAGCTCTAAAAGTCTGACAACAGTCTTTCTTCAGTACTTCGATATCGCCTAGTACTTGGGTTGTGGAGGTCTGATGGCAGTCGCTTCGCGCAAAAAATTATTATTCAGACGTATCGTAGTAGACTTAAGGCCGACCCCAAGCTAGTTTGGGAAAAGGCTCGCAGAAAGAAGTTACTCGCTGATAATGTAATGAAAGAATTTTTAAAATCGGTTTAGTGGTTTAGGCGTGAAAGAGTAACAATCAAACAAATAAACAAACTCACTTTCACATTTATAGTATAAATATGGATATCTACACAAGACATTAAGGTACAAAGATAATTTCCACGCAGCAAGGTTTGTTTTGTAAGGCTTTGAGATTGATGAGAAAGTGAAATATTCGCGTCTGGGCTACCAACATTTCTTGTCAGTCATATCCGACCTATGACAGTTAGAGACATTTCTGAGAGGGGATTTGTCCCATTAATATTAAAAGCACGATGTCATTTTTATACATATAGGTAAAGCCAAAATAAGTGAGTATCTTTTTTTTCTCAGTTTATTAAACCAATGTCAATCTTGGATAAAAAGATTTTCTTCTCTCGCAAGAATTGAAATCAATAAATTTATGAAGTCTACTACTAGTCTACTACTAGTCTCAATTCTCTCAAATCTCTTTGCTCATTTTATACAAACGTAGTTATCAAAAACAGCTCAGTATTTTTCTAGTTAAAAAATCATCTCTGTTTAACAAGCTATAATAAATGTGTAAATCAGGTTACACATTTATCTATACTAATATTATAAAGCTGAAGAGTTTGTTTGTTTGTTTGTTTGTTTGAACGCGCTAATCTCAGGAACTACTGGTCCGATTTCAAAAATTCTTTCAGTGTTAGATAGCCCATTTATCGAGGAAGGCTATAGGCTATATATCATCATGCTAAGACCAATAGGAGCGGAGCACCGGTGAAGAATGTTTCAAAAACGGAGAAAATTTATTACTATTGAGAGACGCAGACGAAGTTGCGCGGGTTAGCTAGTTCTTTATACTGCTGCTTCGTTTTACATGAACTTTCTTATTGCACTGCACATTATATGTGTAACAGTTATTTTTTTGGTATATTTGTAATGCGTACGGTCTTGTTAAAAGCGACACCTATTGGCCGCGTCGCATTGTTGTTGATTTATCTAAAGTAGTTTATAACTATAGTATTGATCTTCTTCGTTCACTGTCGGACCACTAGATGGCGTTTGTGTTTGAGATAAGTCTTTTTATTAATCTATCATGACAAATCGTATAGGTATTGAGAGTGTTCTGTTATGGTAGGAAGCGAGTTACTTTTGATCTTGGTCGGGTTCACCTCGTCGGTAATTTAAATGTCAAAGTAAAATGTTGAGTAGGGGATAATTTCTGGAAGCTTCGGGAACCGAAGATATATAAGTCCGGCTTTCCGCCACGGGAGACACTCTGCTATCTCGTGCCTTCCAATCTTAAATAGTGTTTTGATTGTTGTGTGATTTGATTTTCGTAATATATTATCTGTTCAAAAGTACCCACTAGAGTGGTGAGTATGGTCTTAATTTTCTTTTGTACCTATTTGTTTCTGGAACCTGATTAATTATATGAGTGCTAATCCATTCGTAGGGTCCCAGATTTCGGGGTCAAGACGGTCAGTTTCAGACGGCGTGCTTGCTCGTTTGTGGCCTTCTGGTTCAGACTCAAGTTTCTCGGTACCCTCTGGCAAGCTGGTGATTGCGCGGCTCACGACGCAAGCGGACAGCCGTACCCAAGGGTTACGTACTTACTTATAAACTTATAAATGCAAATTGTTGAACTTTTATCAATATCTAATATAAATAGCCGACTCGGGCGGAAGAGGAAGTAACCTCCTGGAGTGAAGACGTGGAGGCACCGAGCACCATCAGCTCGGCTCTGACGCGCTCCGCTGCGGGTTTTCTCATACCCTCTGTTTTTTTTTTATTGTAACCTTAATTTTGTTTTTTTATTTGATATACATGTATGTATGACTGAGGTGTAAGTTGTTTTTCTCTAAGGGGTCCCATAGGTATCCCACACGCACACACTTCTGTTTATTAAAAGGCGCCCTGAGGTAATCTTGTGAATCTCTCCACTGGGTCAGCCGGTGAGTAGTCCGCCTGATAAGAAAAGCGGCTACTTATGTACAATATAATACTAGGCACTAGGCGGTGTATGTACAATATAATGTGCAGTCTAAACATTTGGCCTGTTAGCACATAGAGGTTTTTATTTGGTTGTAATGCAGAGAGATTGTTTGTTTGAGATTTACTGGCTGACTTCAAGTTAAAAAGTTACTTATTATATTTAAGTTTGGAATGAGTCACTTTATTTATTTATTTATTTACACATCATGCACATTTGATGCATTGGCGGAATTAATGCCTAAGGCATTCTCTACCAGTCAACGATTGGGTGATGCAGAGAAAACAGGAAGTAGGTGCATTTTAGTTACAGTTGATTTAGACATTTAATATAGTATATATACTTTGTACAAAATCATATAATATATACAAATTTGTCCTATACTACACCATACACCACCATACATATTAATATTATACATAAGTACATACCTTATAATACATAAATACAGTATAAAAGTATATAAATACATACATACACACGCATATAGATACTGATAACAATTTTGTATTAAAATAAAAAGAATTCATGAGCAAGTTGTTTGACCACATACTGCTTTACTTTTATTTTAAAGGAAAAAGTATTGGTAGCCATCCTGATTTCAAGCGGAAGCGCATTCCAAAGAAGAACAGACTGAACGAAGAAGGCTGCGAACGGAAAGTTGACACATGATCATATTTACGGAGGTTAAAGATGTATCGAATGCAGTTATTAAGAAGACGATCCAACTTATCGAGAAGATCTGTATTCAGGGCATAACAGCATACGTCACCATAGTCGACTATTGGAAAAAATTTAGGCGATATAGCGCTCGAAGAGTACCAGTAGTTAATTCAGTGTAGAATCGAGGAGCAAGGCAAGCTCCTTACCAGATTGACAAACTGGTATTATAGTACCGTTAAAGTACCAGATGGAACTTTGGATTACTCTGCTCATCAATCGGTGACTTCCTATTATTATAGCTTGACATTTCGTGAAATTTACTCATAGGCTTTTCACTGATAGGCATTTCATGGGATTAACTGGTCAGACCATGCCTTAATTATTTCCAGGTCTCTATTGACCATCCGAGGGCATTTCCGCAAGGATAAAAAGGTCTCTATTGACCATATCTATTGCTATTGATATATCTTCAAATTTAATTTGTGAATAGAGCTACAGCTCAGGGTTAGGAGATTAATATACACGGCAAATAGCAAGGGTGAAAAAATACTGCCTTGAGGAACATCAGAGTCAAGATCACACCAGTTTGATGAAGATTCATTGACACGAACAGACTGCTGCCGTCCCTGAAGATAAGATGAGGGTTCCAGTTCTTCGGGCGAGACCTTATGATAAGAAAGGATAGATAAAGCATATCGTGATCGACGGTATTAAATGCATTCGAGAAGTCAACTAGTACTAGTACATTAACCTAGTGTCCTCCATACCCGTCCTTATATCGCCAGTCACCTTAAGAAGAGCGGTAGTACTATGACCAGGCCTGAAACCTAACTGCAACGGACTTAACAGTTTGTTTTTGTAGATAAATTCGGAAAACTGCTTGAGAACACAGAATTCTAGGATCTTGGAGAGGAAGGGAAGAATCGATATGGGTCTGAAGTGGTTATGGCAGTTTTAGGTAAGGGGATCACTTAAGCTTTGCGCCAAAGTGATGGTAAAATTTCGGAGTTTAGTGAGAAGTTTATTATATGGGTATTTGGGCCTCAAAACTTTACGTAGTAAGTAATGTGCCTCTCGAGAAACATAAGCTGCACCGGAAGAGCAGTCTTTTATCCCGTTTCGGTTTTTCAACATCTTGACATAGTATGTGTTAACAAAGGTTCTTATCGTTTTCGTAAAACCAATTTCACTCGATTGCTGTCTTTAACGTATTAGATATGGTGAAAGAAAAATACTAGACGGAACGTTTAAGTTGAATTACGGTATACGGATAAAGTTAATATTAAAATAACTAGAGAGCTAGTTACTACGAGACTCGACAAAGATATTTTTATTAAGAAATGAATTCTATCACGCCTTATTTATAATTTGAATTTAAATTTAGTCGGTTAGCTATCATCATTAGCATGTAATAGAATACAAAGAAGCTAGGTCAATTACACATAACGTCAGATTGACAAAGAAGTCCTATGAAGTTTACGTCAGAGGGAGACAAAGTATTATCATCGGTTTCCTAACACTATGCAGACCTGCACACTCTTGAGTTGCAAGCATTCATGGGCAGCGGTAGTCGTTTGCCATCAGGTGACCCGTCTGTTCATTTGCCTCCCTCTTCCATAAAAAGAAAATAACCTATCGAATAACATGTCGATACTTTTTCACTGTGCAGGAAAACGAGTAACAGAAAAATCACAATTTTTTCTCTTTTGATTGTTTTAGATTATCTTTAAAAGTAGGTGATTTTCTTTGCTCCATCGAAAATATGTACATAAAACAATAAAGTGTCAAAGAAGCAATTTAAATTCTTTCTACTGCAAGAAACAAAGAAGTTACCTCGGTTTTCTATAACAGTGCATACGTGACAGAATTAGAAAAATAATTTTATTACCTATGTTCTTTGTCACTGTGCACAAGTAGCCGAATGGAAATAACACTACCTTCGATTCTTGATGTCTGTTCACATATTATGAAAAAAGACCGAAAAGATCACCACATCACGCACACTTAATTCATCAACATGACTGCCATGCCTCATCTTATTCTTCTATAAGGTTTTAAACGATTTTCTGCTGTTTTGACATAGAAAGTACAGAGATTTAGTACACATGATCTCATTGTTTATTTGTGCATGAAATTGATTAGTGCCAATCATATAAGTATAAAATTATAGGTATAAAAAGTATCAGATTAGAATAAAATTGTTAATATATTGAATGAATGATTATTAAAATGACGTGTGCAATGACTCTAGAGCGAGGCTCGATATCGATTTCAATGTCAATTACTTGGTCGATCGGTCACTTATTTTGCTTATCACATATTAATATAAACGCATAAACTTTTATGATGTCCCACAGAGATACCGTAGTATATTTGCAATTCCGATCACATCAATAAAATAAGGTAAAAGCTTATGTTTTTGTTTCCTATACTACTTGCAGTAGTTTATTCAATTGAGGTCCGTGTTTACTTCTGAGGTTTGTTATGATGTTTTGACAATTTTGATTTGATTTTTTGGTGCAAGCCACCTGAAAAAAGTTTTGCCAAATGCTATGTTGAATAGTGCAGTGCAATAGTACAGTGTTATATGGGAGACCACAGTGACAGAGAAGGTATCTTAGAAGCAGAGGAGGATCTGCGAATCAACAGTAGTAAAAGCAATGTAATTTCAGGGATTTATTTACAATTTGAGTATAAGTCATTTTTTTAAATTTTTATATTATACTATTTCAATATAAAATATAAATAATATTTATAAAATAACCCCTATTTACATAACTTTTAGAGCCAACAAAAATATTTGTGCATTTATGTAATATTTACTGAAATTTGACTTCTGATTGGTCACAGATAAAAGGAGTAACTTATATTAGGACGTCAATCGCAATAGATAGTAAATACTAATCAATAACCCATGGTTGAATAGTATGGCGGTGGATCGGGGACACACGGCCATGACTGCCGTTCGTCCGCAATGTTAATTCAGTAACTCAATGTTGTACTTACATTTCAGATGCGTACGGAATCCCAAATACGATAGGATTGAGGAAACTTAAACATTTATTGCAAGACCAACCCAATAAAAAAATATTTCTGTAATTGAAGAGCACACCATATCACTATAATATGTATATTGCAGATATAAAGGGCTTACATCACCTCATCATCTACAGTCTTTCAATGGTCCACTGCGGGACATACGCTTCTCCTTAGAAAGGAGGTTTTGGAATACTATACATAGTTCATATAATACTAATTGTTTTGACTCCTCTTTTAAGGCATTTAAAGCGTGTCTAATGAAAATACCAATAACAGTATGTATGTATGTGTAATTACTAAATAATAGTTTTCGAGATATATTCATTTAATGAGTATTTTACAATATTAAAAAAATAAATTATATATTGTAGTTAAAAATAAATGTATTATTATTTATATTAGTTTTCTGGAGGTTTTAATTTTACATTTAGATTTAAAAGTTCAATCTAATACACTGCTAAAAACTGTATGTAAGTATGTAAGTGTTTTTGTAAAATAATAATAATTTGGAAGTCGAACATAAATACTACAATGAAATTCGTATTAATAGTAATAATAATCATTTTTATGAGAGTAACCATGACTCATTGCTTGCTAGTAATACATAAAACTTATCCTATGTTAGTAGAAACAATTTACAATATTTTATTTATGTACTGCATGAGAGACAGCGCTGCAGTGACCCATGTAGTACCTGCAATCTAACCTCTCCGCAATCATGGCTAAAATTCTGTAAGAGCTAGCCCGCACCTTGCGCACCAAAGATACACGCCGTTTTCGCATAGTAGTGTGAAAGCTGTCCACTCGCGCCTCTGCGAACATTCAGCATGCACGACAGAAGCAGGGTAGCCCCAACAGCTCCCTAAACGCAGTGTTGTATTGGTTGTTGTGTATTGTGTAGTTGTATTGAGGGAGTTGTATGCTTTGCGAGTACATATATCTAGGCCACAGGTTGCATCTATAAAAAGACGTGCAGTAGGCTCTGAAAAGTGTGATCGTTTTCGTCTAATTTAAACTTTCGCATTCTATGATGTATAATTAATTATTATCACATTGAAGTGGTCAGGCCATTCAAAGATATGACCTATCGAACGCAATCATTTCTATATTAATAATTTATATAGCACTTTATTTTACGATCCATCAATAGTATTCGTAAATATTTTGGCGACGTTACTAGTTTACTGTTACATCTAAACTCTATTCCTATACATTTGATAAAAATCTCGTTATATTAGATACTATTTTAAATGAAATTTTACCTTTAAAATAAACTCACTAATTTACGAAATACTGTATAGTTGTTTGAGATTCTTTGACATTTGATTCTTAGTATTCCCTTTTGTTAGTTGATGAAATTACTGCTTTGAATTCAGCTTTGTCTGATAATTTAATTAGTAACTAACTCAGTTTCTATTATCATAGGAGTATTACCCGAAATATCTATTTCTAATAGTATTAATAACAATTACGTAAAAAATATTCTGTTATTAGATACCGTATCTGTTTAACAAATTTGTGCACCTACATATGTTTTACATGTTTTACCTTTTTCCTTAAGTGTAAATTATGTTGAAATTTTGTCGGTTTTCTTTACCTTTTTTGTAAATCATTGAACTTAGGATGTTCCCCAAAAGGGTTAACGATCCATCTTTACGTTTAATATTCACGAGCTTTATGATTGCTCGACATGGAAATTTGTTTTTATAGTTTACGGCTTCCCATGCGTAAAAGTAATTTTAAATCTCTCATGAACCATACATTTTTGAGATGAGAAGGGTACACAAAGGAGTACAAATATAGTTCAAAATTTAATGATGTTTATGTTGGTAGTTGTGAAGTAATGGTTAGTATTCGTTCATTACTATCTTTAGCAAACCGTTGAATTTTTCCAACGCTGGCGAAAGCCCAAAATCAGTTAGGTTTACCTCGGAAGCCAGCTATAGTGCAATATTTCCAACGATAACTCAATTATATTTAAAAAAAAAACAGAGAAGCGATTGGTTATTACAATAATTTAATGAGCTTGAAGTAGCATAATATGATATGGATCATGATAATAATTAGATTATAGATGATTTATAAAAATATTCATTTACAATTTATGTTTAAAAACAAACTGAAATAAAACCCGATTCATATCGAAATAGCAAACAGAACTAAAAAGTAAATAATATTTTTTTATTGATAAAATACCGTGCTTATTACTGTATTTTTAGTACAAGTGAGATCACATGTATTGATTGGCACTTGGCAATTAACTATTTTCGTAACATTTGTGACTTGATGTCAAGTATCTTTCTCTTT